CAAAAATAGTTAGCATTTCTACATATAGTAATATTTTTAAGACATTCAATTTAAAATTTAAAAAGCCACATAACGATACTTGTCATACTTGTGATACATTTGTAGCAAAAATAAAAATTACTATAGATGACACCGAGAAAACGAGACTACATGACGAACATGTCTCTCATCAGGATAAAGCGAATTTCCATTACGAATGTAAATCATTCGATAAACAACGCGCCAAGGCATCTGGGAATACTATCGTTGTCGCTGTGTGTGATTTACAGCAGTGTCTCGCTACACCATACTTAAATACTAGTGTAGCATTTTACAAAAGGAAGCTATGGACTTTTAATTTCACAGTCAGAAATTGTAACACTGGGAAAACTACTTGCTTCATGTGGCATGAAGCTATCGCACAACGTGGTGCTGACGAAATAGCATCTTGCTTAAAAATGTTCATAATGAGTTTACCCAAAGAAACAGAGCACGTTATTATTTATTCAGATACATGTCCCGGACAGACCCGCAACAACACATTACCTGTTGTATATAACTACATACTTACGCAGAAAGTTGGTTTGAAGACTATAGATCATAAATTTCTAGTTCCTGGTCATACACATTTAGAGTGTGATGCTGACCATGCCTCAATTGAGCGTGCCAAGAAGAAATATAATGGAAGAATTTCAATTCCAAATGACTGGTACATGCTTGTGAGAATGGTCAGCAGTAAGTTCACTGTGATAGAATTGTCACAAGACGACATTTTTGCATTTTCGAGCATTCTAAAGCAGTCGCTTATAAAGAAGACCAAAGATCAAAATAACGCTCCTTTTCTGTGGCGTAATATATTTTGGATACGTGTCGAGAAAGAACATCCTTGTTTCTTTTCTTTTAAGTATTCACTGAGAGTGGAAGACGAGTTTAAAATATGTGACATGAAGAGGAAAGCTAGAGCCAGTCGAAGCAATCAACCAATAATGGATGTTCGTAAGGCATACAATCAGCCATTATTAATAAGTAAAGAAAAACATAAGGATATTTTATCTTTATTACAGTACATTGATCCAGTGTACCATGATTTCTATAACAATGTAATAAAGTCTGACAACGACGTAGTAGACACATCACATATAAGTGATTATAATTCCGATTCTGAATAGAAATTATTCTATTATTAAGTCTATTATCTTATTTTTTTAATGCTGCTTCGAGCGCAATGTTATATGCCAAATATTCTGCATTGGCATTTTAAATCTAAATAAAGTATTTTTCTCATATTTGTCTTTCATTTAAGATCATAACACGATAACTACCTACTTCTTTTGATCAGAATGTGACAAGTGCAACCATTCTTTAAAAAAAAAAACAATACGTGAATACTACGCATTCCACAAAGAATTTTACGTATTTTTACAAATTAGTAACACATTTCCTTAGTTTTAAAAACTTTTTTTTTTCATATATCGAGTGTCTCATATTTTAATAGTGCCTTCAAGATTTCTTAAAAATTTAATTGCTTGTCCTGTGTAACGGACGTGACGTCAGCTGTCATGCCCTGCCGCCAGCCAAGCCGCCAAGCCATATTAACACGCCCCCTTCCGCCACAGCCACCGCCACCGCCGCCAGCCAAAGCCAACGAAGGGGGGATAGTGTTAATAAAACAAGCCGTGCCAGCCATTTCTACCTGCTTTTCTGCATTCTCGCACAAATAAAAGAACTTGTCGTTACGCTGCTGGTTTTTATTGTCACATCATTTGCAACAATCAGAAGTGGCATAAAGAAATGAAACAACGTCATATACACGCTCAGATCTCTCGGTCTTCTGACAAGTTTGAAGAAGATGAAGCTCCTATTCCACTGGCGAGGAAAGTGTTGAAAAATTGCTTCAGAAGGAGGTCCACNGTGTGTTCCCCATTGCGGGAGCAATTGTTGCAGGATGGCCGAATGTAACGGACGTGACGTCAGCTGTCATGCCCTGCCGCCAGCCAAGCCGCCAAGCCATATTAACACGCCCCCTTCCGCCACAGCCACCGCCACCGCCGCCAGCCAAAGCCAACGAAGGGGGGATAGTGTTAATAAAACAAGCCGTGCCAGCCATTTCTACCTGCTTTTCTGCATTCTCGCACAAATAAAAGAACTTGTCGTTACGCTGCTGGTTTTTATTGTCACATCATTTGCAACACCTGTAAAGTAATGAAATTGTATTTATCATATTCTGACCTATGGCCACAGAAATTATGATATCTGAGATGTACAAGGTGAGACAATAGAATTTTATGTACTCCGGTTTACCTTCTTGTCTCGTTACACACGATATTTTTGACATCCAAAACACAAATGCATCTAAAACACTTCGCCAATCGAGTTTGGATCGTAAAAAGTTTGCAGTGATTTTGTTGCTAAAACCATTAATATTAATCACATAGCGTTAATCATTTTATTTTATAAATCTTTGTTTTTTTTTTTTGTAAATTCTTCTTTTTCTTCATCTTTCCACTTTCCGCTAGGTGGGGTCGTAACAGCTAATTTTTCTCCTCCTTTCTCTTCTATCAGCCGTCAGCTCAACCCTCACTCCTCTCTCTCTCATATCGTCTTTCACACACTCCATCCATGTCTTCTTCGGTCGATCTCTTCCCCCTCTACCTCGCACTACCATTTCCATACAGTATCTCCTAGTCCCAAGCATTATTGTTATGAAATGATTGTTAACCGTAGGATTTTTCAGCTTCGTTAGAACTGGTCGGCAATTATGGACTGAATCAGGTGTAGTGGAGTTGCTAACAACTACCTGTGATTATCTAAAAGGGTCCTCTTTTTTTTTCTCCACTTGAGAAAATCGCCAGATCCCCATCGTATGTGGGAGTTGAACCTCCTTCCGCTCACAGCCAGTGCTCTACCCCGGCCCGGGTGGGAACCCAGTCGGAGCTATTCAGACGGCGAGACAGGGTTTACGCAAAGCATATTACATCCATCTCGCCGTCCCCTAGACGCCGGACCGGCGGCCACCATTACCACGACCGCCGGTTCCCTCGGTCGACGGGCCAAGAGCCCGCATTGATGGAGCCGCGCTACACCTTCGCCCTACCATCGACAGGTTTCGTATTACGATCTAAAATGGTCCTACAGCTATTTAGAGATTGCATCTACTTTTTGTCGATCGCTAATGAGGTGGACTAACAAAATCAAAACTACAGTGGACAGTCCTCTAAATCAGGACAGCAGGATGATTCAGAGTAGAGAAAGATAGGCGGGACATCATAAAACGAGTCAAGTCTGCCCCCTCCAATATCATATAACGATCACGAGGACTCAAGATTGAAAAGATTGAAAAGAATCTCATTTTTGTACCTTTAAGTGTATACGAGTATAAAGAAAACCTTTTAAGTATTAAGTAAACATTTTAAGTATATAAATAAATATATAAATAAAATATTTTAAGTATTATCATTAATCAATCGATTTTAATCGATTATAAGCACATAAAATGACATCAACGACATACCCATTGGACTTTTTTGGTATTTTTATTTAAATACAACAAAAATAAAAATATAAAAAATAATGTGTACTCGTAAAAAAAAGATTAAGAATTATTTATTTATTTATTTATTTATTTATTTAAGGATTACCGACAGGGTTTACAGTAAGACATAAAATAACATTGACATGTATAGAGCAATTGATAACTGCAACTCTAATTATAGGCAATCACAGCATGCATTACATTAATATATTAATAGAGATTTAACAATGCTATTAATAATAATAAAAAATTAAAAACAAAAGAAAGACAACAAGGGCAGTAATACCCGAGTACTCAGACCAGGACTGAGGCTGAGGTTCAACAACAACTTTTTATAATTTTCTTCTTAAATATTGGAAGGGAATCGCCAAATATGTCAAGGTTTTCAACTTTTCTAACTAGATTATTATAAAGGTTAGTTAGACGAGGAGTAGGTGAGTGCTTAAATCAATAATCGTTTTTTTTTTAAAATAATCGATATATCGATTTAATGTAATTATTTTTCGTTATACTGACAACACTGAATTTAATCTGACTGACTGACACACTGAAGTAGGAAACTTATCTATAGACTGACACCACAGATTACTAAATAAATAACTGACACTTCGCTTGCTGCTTGTGCTTACGTTCAAAATGGATGTGTTTTGATTTTTCTTCTATTTATTTTACTGGCTTTGTTTTATGGATTTTATCCTTCCTTGAATGACGACTTTGGATCAGGAGTTAAGGATCACAGCTACATTCGATTATGGATACCGATTAATAACGTTTCATACTACGACCGAAAAACATTGTGTGAATTGTGATTTTAACCTGACCGAGATTCAAAACCATGTATATGCCCTCCTGACTCCTGTGCTAGTTTTTGATGATTTACGAATTGTGTAGGATGATGAAAAAAATATAGATATTTAAAGAAACATGTGTATGTTTTTTTTATTTCTAATAACTACAATTGGATAAAAATACATTAAGAACATCTCTCTTATCATAATTAATAAATTAAACATTAAGAAAAGAAAAATTCTTGAATTATCCGACACTTATTTATATTATAAAAAAATAACCTCAAAACTGCCTACTCTCCATAGCATGTGGGCCCAAGATGGACATCTAATATTACTATAAAAATGGACTGTATTAAATTCTTAAATGTATTGGATATCTAAAAAATATATTGAAATTGATGACACTTCTATAAAAATAAAATGAAATTAAAAAATAGTTTATTTTTGAATACCAAAAAAGTCCAATGGGTATGTCTTTGATGTTATTTTAATGATAATACTTAAATGTTTTATTTATATATTTTATTTATATACTTAAAATGTTTACTTAATACTTAAAAGGTTTTGATGCTGGCAATATTTTTCCCGCAAAAATCAAAAACCTTGTTTTTTCAGTAGAATAATTTTTTTTAAACTTACTCAACTTACTTATTGTAAACTGTAGTGGCGCTCATTTGGAAGAAAGTAAATGCATATTTATTTATGCCAAAATTAATGCACTAAGTATTTTTTCTCTAATCTATTGTCCACTTTGGGCCTGAAATGGGAATTCTCCTTTACACATTCATCAAAACTTAAAAGACATTATTGAGTCTTTTAAAAGTGCGTCTTTAGTTTTGTATTTTTCAAGCTAAAAGTTCGTTGATACTCTCTGTTATCTCTTTGATTTTCTTCGTTTATCGACTTCAGTATACTTTGGATTTCCGCAAAAGATTTTCCTTTCGTTTCCGGTATGAAGATTACAACAAATAAACCCGCTACAATTGTATTAATGGCTAGCGACCAATACGAATAAACGGGACCAATCAGTTTTACGAAGGTCGCGAAATATTTCGTTAGCAGGAACGCAGTTAAAGAAGCCACGGAGAACGATATAGTGACACCAGACGCTCTTGCTGGGCCCTCGAAAAGTTCAGACACGATGGTTAGAAAAATGGAGCCGGGTCCTGCAAATTAGAAGTTGATTTAAAAACGAAATTATAAAACAGTATGTATATTATAACACAGTGAATCGCGCCACCACCCGAAGTGATGACCACGACCACTCTGCCAAGAGTGCATACGACTGAGAAGAATATTATATATAAACACATCGATTTAAATTTTATGGCATTGAAGCTCTTCATCAGAAAAGTAACCCTCTTATCTTGGTCGCCAATAATGAATAACCAACTCAGATGACGAGGCAACGGATAGCCGCCTCGCCCTAAGCATATCTTAGCGATCCCGGATCGGTTCTCGATGCTCTGATGAAACACTGCTCTTGTTAGGGCTATTCTCTCAAGTTAAGCCCGTGAGCTCGACTACCAGCCCGACAGTAGCTGAAGTCCCTTAGGCTACCAGCGATTAGGTAGGCAGGGAACGCAAAAAACTTAAGTAGAAAACTAAGCCAAGGGAACGGAAGACTTTGGATAACTAAGCGATCTTATGGTTCGCTTAGTGATATTTTGTTATTTACACTAATAGCCTACTAGTGAACTCCTATTACCACAAAAAAGCCTAAACATAAAGCGTGGGTACCATAATCCCTTATTTACTTATTTTTATCAGATAAAATATTTTATTTTGAGTGAAAACTACGATAATTCAATTAAAAACCCACCAAATAAAAAAGAAAAAACTAACAACACACATACCTGTACTGTAGCTAAATAAAACGGCCACAAGCGAAAACAACGGTAAGTAATTTATCCAGCCTTCCGTAGAGTATCCAAGCTCTTTCAGTTTGAAAAATGTTCCTAGTCCTGTAAAACCAGCAGCCGTTCCCGCCAAGGTAACAATTAATAAAGGTTTGCGGCCAACTTTGTCCGTCACAAGCGCAGCCAAGATACCAGCTACAAACTGGATAACACCAACAATCACAGAAGCCAATTCCGATTTGATATTTGTATGCGTGATCTCCAAGATTGACTGCAAATAGTTTATGACGATTGATTGGCCAATCAAGTTCACGAGTAAGGCAAAGAGAACGGCTATCGTCAAGGATTTATACAACATTTTGTTTTTGAATATTTCCAAACAATTCACTTTTGAATTAAGCGCAAGATTATACTGCTCTATTTCTTCTGTCGCTTCGTATTCAGATCCATGGAAGTAAATTAGTACTTTCTTCGATTCTTCTATGCGACCTGAAATTAAATTTATAGGTTCAACGCATTACTGCTTCACGGCAGAAATAGGCAGGGTGGTGGTACCTACCAGTGCGGACTCACAAGAGGTACCACCAGTAATTACGCAAATTATAATTTTTGCGGGTTTGATTTTTATTAAGCGGTGTTATTCTTTTACAGTGGAAGTCAATCGTGAATATTTGTCAAGTACGTATTTTATCAGAAAAATTGGTACCCGCTTGCGGGATTCGAGCACCGTTGCATCGCTAGATACGAATGCACCGGATGTCTTATCCTTTAGGCCACGAAGACTTCACCTAAATTACCTAAATATAATTAAGAACTGTTGTAACTTAATACTGAAGAAAAAATGTAAGTCTACAAACCTTTTGAGAACAAATAGTACGGACTCTCAGGTAGGAATAATATCGGTACAGTACACAATGCCACCGTACACGTAATCGCGATGTTCAAATGAAAGTAATTGAGGTAAGGTCCAAAACAGAACATCATTAATGTACCGAGTGATATATTGATATTTATGAACGATAATAAAGAGCCTCGAATTTCTTTCTGAAAAAAAAAAAAAAAAAAAATTATATGGTGGTAAAGTATATTGTGACAGACTCACGGATGTTCAGGATAATTCAGAGCTTCCAATTTCTGGCAAGAAATAAACGCGCCATTTTTAAAGGTCAGGATAGTAAGTAGGGTAGTAGTTATAGGCAGCCGGTAGGCAGCGGCTTGGCTCTGCCCCTGGCACTGCTGAAGTCCATGGGCGATGGTAACCACTCTCCACCAGGTGGGCCGTATTCTCGTCTGCCTACAAGGGCAACAAAAATAAAAATTAATCACTGTCAACTAAAGCTCCGATAGACGCCTCATTGAATCCGATCATACTAAGCTTATGTTCTCATGTTCATATTTAAGTAAACTTCTGAATAATATAACAATCGTTTTCTCTGCCGATCTTTTAGTACTAGTTGGTAAAAAAATACATTGGCAACATGTTTACACTGTATTGCTATTTAATCTAGGTAACATACACTAGATATTTCTGCAGAGTAGGCAACCGAAGCGCAAATTAGCATGCCACTTAGTGTACCGCTGAAAGCTCTTTCCACCACCAACATCCAAGCTTTCGTTGCAAACGTTAACATGAATTTAACGGTCATCGTCAAACACATGCCAAAAACGATACAGGTTTTCCTACCGAAATAGTCCATTACGATTCCCCATGGATAGTTTGCTGTAACAAATTAGCAGTGTTATTAAATTTAAAAAAGATAAGTTGGTTTTTGAAGCACGCGATCTAAAAGGCTCTAAGCCTAAGTGTGTCGATATCCAAAACGTGGCAAGAGGTAGACGAGAACGCGGCCAAGCATTTACTAACAGAGGGGTAAGTACACGCCACTAGCAATTGCTCGGGCCAAATCAAGCCAAGTTCAGAGGTTCGTTGATATTTTATTATGGCTTCTGTATTTTTTAGGAAACAAGACTATTAATAGACCAAAGAAGCTGGTACACGTGCAACTTGGTGCACGTGAAAGAAGTGAAACTTCTTTTGCGGTATGTATTATTGCAGCCTTCTTCTTTTTTCATCCTTAAATCAAATTTCTCTTGTAATAGGAAATGCTGTGTATAAGAGAAACGACATTGGTTGCTTTGTTATTTCCCTGTCTCCATGGTCGAGTGACATTGTCTATTTTCTCACTCTCGCTTTTACTGAATTGTATCTTTTCTCTCTAGCCGTAACGAATCTGTCGCGAGTTAAATTTTACTCTCAACGTGTGTAAAGAAGTTTCACTTAAAAAAATAGAAATAAGATTGCAGGCAAAGCTTTGGAACAATTTTGTTAGATCTTGTAACTAGATACAGATACATCACTAATCTTTTTGTCGCGAAGAAACAACCATATCATAATACGATTGAAAATGAACTAAAATAACCTATATGTTAGAACGACCATTCATCCAAAGCGCGTATTTTTATATAATTAAGATATATTTTTGCGTAGATCTATGTGTTTTCAGATTCTAACCAGTTTTGAATGAACTTTACTCCACGGTGCTTACTAAGCGTCATGAAATATCTACACACGTCGTTACGAATCCTCCCGACAGTAGATTCTGCGAAGCACTGCTCTTGGGCTAGTATTAGCAAATTCTCTCAGGTTGAGCTCGTGACCTCACCTACCCGTCCGGCCGTAGTTGGAATAGCACCCTAAGCTATCAGCGTATAGGTAAGGAAAAAAATCTAATCGCCTGTTTATTCCTCTGTCTAAGTAACAAAACTAATCGCCTGTTTATTCCTCTGTCTAAGTAACAAAACTAATCGCCTGCTTATTCCTCTGTCTAAGTAACAAAACTAATCGCCTGTTTATTCCTCTGTCTAAGTAACAAAACTAATCGCCTGTTTATTCCTCTGTCTAAGTAACAAAACTAATCGCCTGTTTATTCCTCTGTCTAAGTAACAAAACTAATCGCCTGTTTATTCCTCTGTAGGTTACTTAGACAGAGGAATAAACAGGCGATTAGTTTTTTTGTGTGTTAAAAATAGGTAAGCTAATTAAAACGTTTTTAACTTTCCTTGCTGCAATCAACGAAATCAACTAAACATTTGACGACCTCATGAAACCGTGTCACGTTTCACATTGGTCACGTTTTTGTTATTACATGTCCTATACATTAAATATTTTTACTATACCGTTGCTAGCTGAACTGTATCTCGTTTCATTATACCATTACATGATCTAGATAAAAATAAGCAACGACAAATATCAGTTAAGTATTTTTATTTTCACTGGTGGTAGGACCTGTGGTAGGTAGAGGGGGAAGAGGTCGACCGTAGAAGACATGGATGGAGTGTGTGAATGACGATATGAGAGAGAGAGGAGTGAGTGTTGAGATGACGGCTGATAGAAGAGAATGGAAGAGAAAAATTAGCTGTGCCACCTAGTGGGATAAGGTGGAGAAAAAAAAGAAGACTGGTGGTAGGACCTCTTGTGAATCCGCGCGGGTAGGTACCACCACCCTGCCTATTTCTGCCGTGAAGCAGTAGTGTGTTTCGGTTTAAAAGGCAGGGCAGCCGTTGTAACTATACTTGAGACCTTCGAACTTATATCTCAAGGTGGGTGGCGCATTTACGTTGTAGATGTCTATGGGCTCCAGTAACCACTTAACACCAGGTGGGCTGTGAGCTGTTCCACCCATCTAAGCAATAAAAAAAATAAAAATTTCACTTTAAACACAAAAGTATTTTCAATTTAATGGTTTTGTCGGGGGTCACCAGTATAGTCTCTGTATCGGGCATGGATTAATAAGACACGTTTTCGGTTAAGTGACTAAAGTATAATATTCGGATTACAGCGTAACGTGCTATCGACAGCCCGACAATCCCGAGACTGTCTTTTACATACCCGATCCTATGGATCGAATGGTAAACAGTCGACGTCGCCCTAAACACGTTATTACGGATCCTCCCGATCCATTAACGGTACTTTTAGGTACCTCAAGCACAGGTTACCGTCCTCGCCGAATCCGTCGCTTGCGACGAAGGGCTCGACGAATAAATTAACCCATACACGTCAAGACGAAGCTGAAATACCCTCTCAAGGCTATAGCATAGGTAGGAAATAAAGAGAACCATCTCTGGAGTGTAAAGGGTTAAAAGATTTTGTAGAAATTGTATTTTATAGAAAAAATTAAAGTTTATTAAGAATTTCTTCAGTGTTATTCGAAATATTTCTATTTTGTTTTATAGTTATCATCGAGCCGCCATGATTCTTTTTTTTACACTACAAAAGAGATTATGATCGAATTTCATCTGCCTTAAGATATTAGGTACATACGTGGTACTCACTTAAAAATGCAACCAGATACGACGTAGACACTAACCACGATATTTCAACTTCTGATATTCTTGGTGACAAGATGTCTTCGTTTTCATCCATTAATTTCACTAAAACGGGTGAAATCCAGCCCAGCCCGATTCCGGCGCATGCTGTACTTAAGTTAACTGAAAAAAAGTGTAATTGCTAATGCATTTTTTATTATAAGGTAAACAATTTTATTGGCTTAGTGTATACCTGTTGCATGAGGTTATGGCATGATAGACGGAAGCACAAATAGCATTCGAATTCATATGTGTATAGGTTTGCTTCTGGTCGCCCGGTAGTCGAAATATTTTTTTTATTGCCCTTGTAGGCAGACGAGCATACGGCCCACCTGATGGTAAGTGGTTACCGTCGCCCATGAACTTCAGCAATGCCAGGGCAGAGCCAAGTCGCTGCCTACCGTTAAGTACTCTCCACAAGCTTCGTTTAAAGAAGGATATGTCATAGCGCTCGGAAAACACCGTGGAGGGGAGCTCATTCCAAAGCCGGGTACGTGGCAAAAAAGATCTCTGGAAGCGCATTGTGGATGAACGCAGTGGCTTCAGGTAGTATGGATGAACTCTGCTCCGGTGGCGGGCGGTGCCATGGTAAAAACGAGACGACGGTATCATCTCGAAAAATTCCTTAGAGCACTCCCTAGGTGGTCGCCCGGTAGTCAAAATTTTACTATAATTAATTTAAATTATAAGCTTGAACATTATTAAGGGTCTATTGTCAAAGACTATCATAGACCTCTATATTAACAAATTTCGCCAAGGCTAAACTGTAGACAAATACTATTGAAGACAAACAATATTAATTTATTCTCAATTTGACCACTTAACAACAAACAAAAGAGTATATAAGTATATGCGTGGGTGTTTGAAATACATGGTAGTGTGTGTAATTTTTTAATTGATTTAATAATGTATTTTTTATGTATTTAAAAAAACAAATCTACAACGGCTGCCCCACCCTTCAAACCAAAACGCATTACTACTTCACGGCAGAAATGGGCAGGGTGGCACCTACCCGTGCGGACTCACAAGAGGTGAGTATTTACGCAAATTATAATTTTGCCTGTTTGATTTTTATTACACGATGTTATTCCTTCACCGTGGAAGTCAATCGTGAACATTTGTTAAGCATTTCTCATTGGAAAAATTGGTACCCGCCTGCGGGATTCGAACACCGGTGCATCGCTAGATACGAATGCACCGGACGCCTTATCCTTTAGGCCACGACGACTTTGTGTTAATGATTGAGCCACAGACTCGCACCAGCATAAGCAGTATGTTTTTCTCGCAATTTACTCCTATAATGACAGCTGTTATAGTATATAAGATATCCAATTAAACCTCAATCGCGCTAATGACATTTACAAGATGTGCTTACAAATGTACAAATTCAGTCAGTCTATGGTACAAAAACACCCGCTCGGTGGAGGGTATCTCTTGTCCCCCAAACTGGTAACCTAACCCTACACGACCCCCACTGCTATTCGAATCGTTATCCTCATTCGTCATACTGTATTACAAAATACATACTAAAGTAACTCTAATTTTACTGTAGAAAAGTAGTTTTTTGTTGCGAAATCTATCTATAAGTATAAAAATGAATTGCTGTTCGTTAGTCTCGCTAAAACTCTAGAACGGCTGAACCGATTTGGCTAATTTTGGTCTTGAATTATTTGTGAAAGTCCAGAGAAGGTTTAAAAGTTAAATAAATATGAAAATGCTCGGAAATAAATAAAAATAACAATGTTGTTTTTCCTTTGATGTGTCCCCCGTCGGACGGATTCCTTTTGTTTGTTTTAAGTTTAGTTTATACAAAAGTTTAGGTCTTTTATTTATCGATTGAGGCACTACGAAGTCTGCCGGGTCGGCTAGTTATTTATAAATATTATTTTAAGGGCTAGTTGGTGTAAAAATTAAGATGAAGTCAGCGAGGGTAAAATATCATAATAAATTATATCAACTCATTTTTTAAACCATATTATTATTATTTTGCACTTAAATACTACATCTTACCCCGACGTATCCTATTTATGTATTTATTTATATACAAAATTCCGTAGGTGTCCCGCTATGACACGAAAAAAAAAGGTCACGTTAGTCATACATAATATGTCATACCCAAAAACCCTCGCGCCTGTATTCACGGTTGGCTTCAAAACCGCGTAATACCATAAGTCCGTCAGCTTGTCTTCCCATTTCACGCAAAAAGAACACCCTGTATAATGGAATGAGTTGGATGCTGACATAATGTGTATACTTTGATAATAAAAAAAAAACACACTGCATAAGAATGTGTTTACTATTGTCTTAATGTATGTTTTTTCTAAAAACAATACAACAGTATTTGATTTATTTATTTATTTAATAGCATGTTTGTTCACGTTTTTTTCTGTGGACATGCTGCCTTTTATCGTTACTTTAGTTGTTTGAATTTATTGCAGGCGGTTAACAACAAAAATTATTGCTTTGATCGAAATAAGGCAACAACAAATACATAAGAGGAGATTTATGTGATACATAATAATATTATTATATCTATATATTAATACATGAAGCAAACACTTTGTATCCCTTTTTACGAAAATTGCGCGGACGGAGGAGTATGAAATTTTCCACACTTATAGAGAATATAGAGAAGAAGTGCACAATGCTAATATTTTTTTAAAATAATGCATAAAAGATACATTAAATCAATAAACAAAACATTACACCCACTACATACCATGTATTTGACGCACACACGCATGCATACTGTTTATTTTCAAACTTATGTTCTTGACGTCTGTTGTCAAATTGAGAATAGATTAAATATTGTTTGTCTTTGTTAATATTTATATAGTGCAGTCTTGGCGAAATTTGTGATTATAGAAGTATAAAACACAATCATAATAGTGTACAAACTTACAATTCCAATTAATTATAGTCGAATTTCGACTACTGCAGGACCTCTAGTTTAATTAATTTGATCATTATTTCGGAATCTTTAGGATTTTTCAGATTGCTCGTATGAGTTTTGCGATAGGTTGTTTCGCTTCGCATTTAGTTCATGACATTGACGGAGACCGTAAAGGTCATTGAACCTTGACTTTACTGCTTCCAACGGCAAACAATTAAAACTTTGGTTGACGTTCAGATGTATTTTTTATTTATTGCTTTGTTTTTAATGTGAATTTTCATTCTACTCGTACTATTGGAAAGATTGTAAATAACAATTTAAAAAATATATATAATATAATAGTTATAAAAAATACGTAAATATGTTATGTAAATAACTGGGAACAAATCACGCACGATCATCCGGTCCCATATTATTATTCCCGCGTTATGGGTACAAGAAACTGAGATTACTTGTACACGTTTAAATATATACACATGTATATAATAAACACCTAGACAGAGAGCTAACAAACGTGTCCATCACATGAATGTTTGAAATACGGGAATCAAACCCTCAGTGCAAAGTTATACGCGCTAAATATTGCAATACCAAGTCAGTCAAATCCTAATTATATTATGAAACTGGAACACTGGTGATACGGATCGGGCCATGCTACTCATTCAAACAGGTACACAAAAGAATTTTTTTTTGTTGCTCTTGTAGGCAGACGAGCATACGGCCCACCTGATGGTGAGTGGTTACCGTCGCCCATGGACTTCAGCAATGCCAGGGGCAGAGCCAAGCCGCTGCCTACCGCTAAAAGTAGTGTATTTATGAGCTATGCGCGGTTGCTATACCATCCTCGTAGAAGTCTTTAGCGAGATATTTTACTACGTCTTCTTCTTCTTTTTCTCCACCTTATCTCACTAGGTGAGGTCGGCACAGCAAATTTTTCTCTTCCATTCTCTTCTATCAGCCGTCGTCTCAACACTCACTCCTCTCTCTCTCATATCGTCAATCACACACTCCATCCATGTCTTCTTCGGTCGACCTCTACCTTGCACTACCATTTCCATACATCTCCTAGTCACATGCGTCTTCTCTCTACGCATCACATGTCCATACCACGCTAACTGTCCGCTTTTTAATTTATTGTCTTTAATTTAATATTTTACTACGTGATTACCTCAAAAGTTCTATAGACGCCTATAGAATAGACGGCCGTCTGGTGTAGTGGTAAGTGACATGGTCACTACATAAGGGGGTCGCGGGTTCGAATCCCGCCAAGGGAAGATATTTGTATGATAAATATAAATATATTTTCCAGGGTTATGGATGTATATTAAAATATATGTATGTGTATAATAAAAATCTTACATTTATTTCCGTTATCTGGTACCTGTAACACAAGTTCTTTAAGAACTTAGCACGGGACCAGTTAACGTGGCGTGATTGTTAGTAAATATTTATTTATTATTTTACTCAGGACAGCCTGTTTTGCTCAGGACGCCTATTTTACTCAGGACAAACTGTTATCAAACTGTTATCCTATGACTATAAGAATATTTAATAAGATACCAAACAGCATAAGAGATCTTCCACTAACTCAATTTAAAAGAAAATTATATTTATGGCTAATAGATAAGGCTTATTATAGTGTGCAAGAATTTTTAAATAATAAGTGTTGTACATAATAAAATATTAGAATAAGAAGTGATAGAATGAAAAAATTGATAGATTTAGTAAAATTTGTGTTAGAATTAATATAAAAATAAGTTAAATTTTCGCATGCCTAAACAGACGAAATATATGAAACTAGGTCCTATATCCACAATATCTTGTAAACTATATTTCTGGCGAAGATTTTCTTCTTCTTCTTCTTCTTCTTGACAGGACAGCTTCGGACAGCGAATTCCAAGTGAAATACAAAGGATTTTCTTACCTGTCAAAACTGCAGCGTATTGTCGTATTAGAAACTTGTGTTTCTCGAACATTCCGAAATAAATCAGTTTTATACTTGAGTATTATAAATTGTTTTCTGTATGTACATCGCTTCGAAGACGAGCACTGCGGAGCGATAGAAAGCAAAAACTGAATTATCATCGACTGTTGAGTGTTATTACACATCATATTATGCGGAGTGTGTTACAAACACTGCTTGTTGTGTATCTAACTAAATAATTAATAGTTTAAAAAAACTTACAAAATTCGCTTTTACAGATAATCCAACTAAAAAATCGAAAATAAATTTTAATAAATTTGAATTAAAAATAGTGTAAGAAAAAATGATTTTATTGTAAAAAAAAAAGTGGGGTGCTTTTCAGGATATTATCAAGATAACCCTTCTACTCATATCTGTTCGTAAAATATTTATAACCACTGGTATCATGCACCCCACGCCTTTTCAATTTGTTCCATTTTTTTTTTTTCATTATTTTTTTAATATTGCATTGTCATCGGTCCTTAACAAGTACACCAAATTTCGAGTTAATCCGACGTTTTGAAGGGGGTCAAAATCATGTTCAAAGATTCCGTTACATACTAACATACATACGTTTGAAGCTAATAACAGCGCATTAAAAATATATATTATAAAATATTGTCTGTTTGTTTACCTTCAACGATCGACAGTAGACACTCGCTTATTAACTAGCAACTCTAGCTAGTGGGACCTTTAACGTACGATAAATTAATGAGCATCATGACAATAACGACTAAGCGAGCTAGGAAACTTACGACTCCGAAGTCGTCGTGGCCTAAAGGATAAGACTAAGACGTCCAGTGCATTCGTGTTGAGCGATGCACCGGTGTTCGAATCCCGCAGGCGGGTACCAATTTTTCTAATGAAATACGTACTCAACAAATGTTCACGATTGACTCCCACGGTGAAGGAATAACATCGTGTAATAAAATTCAAACCCGCAAAACTACAATTTGCGTAATTACTGGTGGTAGGACCTCTTGTGAGTCCGCACGGGTAGGTACCACCACCCTGCCTATTTCTGCCGTGAAGCAGTAATACGTTTCGGTTTGAAGGGTGGGGCAGCCGTTGTAACTATACTGAGACCTTAGAATTTATATCTCAAGATGGGTGGCGTATTTACGTTGTAGTATGGGCTCCAGTAACCACTTAACATCAGGTCCACCCAATAGCAATAAAAAAAAACACGATTACACTCTTTTTCTATAATGTGCAATTGTAACAATGTAACAATAACAATTGTAACAATGACACAATAATGTGTGCCAAATATTTTATGTCAGGTTCGGATTGTAATCGAATAAGGTTAAAAGAATTACATCTCTAATTTACTAAAAAGGCAATCCGTGATTATGTTAACGAATACTCGGACACTACTTCCAAACATGCGATCTCTAATACATTAATAGTGCAAAACTGTTAGCTTGAATTCAATATTGGTTAGATAATTATCATTAGGTTTGTTTTCTAGGTGAAAATTGATGCGTAAAAGTTAACAACGGACCGCAGTGGTTTAAGCCATAGTGCCGTGTGGAAGTTTTATCGTTATTCGATTTTCAGTGTGGGAGCGTAACTATTGTATCGATATAATCGGCATGTTAGAGGTTTTTATTAGTAAATTATCACGAGCTATGAGTAGGTACACGAAACCATTCAAATAAAATAAAAATAAGAACATTCAAATTCGACATAGGAAACATTTTTGGTTTATTTTTTTTAATAAATTTTTATCTATACTTTTATACTAATATTATAAATAGGAAATATTTGTTTGTTTGTATTGAATAGGCTCCGAAGCTACTGAGCCGATTTGCAAAATTCTTTCACTGTTTGGAAGCTACGCTATCCCCGAATGACATAGGCTATAAATCTTTTAATGGAATTTTTGGAAAAAAATTAGGGATCCTTACTAAAACTCCAATAATGTAACCCAAGGTGTAAAAAAAATTAATTTAAATTATAAGTTTGAACATTATTATAGTTCTATTGTCAAAGATTTATACTTCTCTATTCACAGATTTCGCCAAGACTACACTATAGACAAAGAATATTAAAGACAAACAATATTAATCTATTCTCAATTTGACCACACACTTTAAATAATAACAAAAGTTTGACAATAAACCGAGTTTACATTATGTTTACATGTACCTGTATATGCGTGTGTGTGTTAAATAGATGGTAGTGTGTAATGTTTTCTTTATTAATTTAATGTGTTTTTTATCATAATTAAAAAAAAAATTAACATTCTGCACTCCTCCTCTATATTCTTTATAAGTGTGGGAAATTTCATACTTCTCCGTCCGCGCAATTTTCGTAAAAAGAGTTACAAAGTTTTTGCTTCACGTATTAATATATAAATGAAAGTCAAGTAGATTTGACATTTCTAGTAGGCACTGCAACTTTGATCAACATATTGAAGAGACCAATCAATGTGACCATTATAGAGACATGACTAGGGAATTCGATCTAGAACCTGCGAAGCATGAACTTGGACCGGTTAATGAATCAATCAATCTTGTTGATGGAACAGTCGCCACTGTTTCACCGTAGCAGGTAACACAAGCCGCAATCGATAATACATCTAAAGCAATTCATTTCGGTAGCCAAACAAGACAAGTCTACATTCGAAGATTCATGTACATGTTACAACTAAATTGGTTTATTGATTTGCAACATAAAATCATTTATATTTGTGTGAATTTTATCATTTATATCATTATATATATTAATATCATTTATATGAGACATACAGATGGCATCGTTGAAAGTAATTACAGATGTTATTTATGAATTCGACTTCAATTTGGAATACATTCTAAATCGGTTGGAATTTTTTTCAATGTCTCGGGTCTCTGAGTTACGATTAGCGCTAACTGTCATAGGTATAGATTTAGTGAGTTTCTTTTATCCTATAACTCAACAAAGATACTGCTTCACGCTATAAGTAAAGTAATTTGTTTCGTTACCATCTTTACTAATATATAAATCTACAGTGGTATTTACGGATGTTCCGTTATAACTACTGAACCATGCATCCGATTGACTTGAAGCTTGGCATCCATGTAGAATATAGATGCACTTAATGGATAGGCTAATATTTATATGAGTGTTAGACTCCCTACCCCGGTTGTGGGGGCGTTAATGATGAGAATCTTTGTGGGGGTGAGAAATAATAATGTTAATTTTAAATGGCCAGCGAAGCGGACGGGTACAGCTTGTATACACATAATAATATAATCAAAAACTCGCCAGACAGAATCTTTTTTGTTGTGGGAACTTCGCGGAACTTAATTAACTTAACTACTGAAACTGTAAGGCAGAGTCGAACGCAAAGCGAAAAGAGACATGTAAACTGGACTATCCAGATTTTGCCACCAAACTCTACGAAAATGTAGGTTGGCGTGATTAACACACTTTAGGGTCCCTCCTGGCTGAGCCTTTGCTCGCCCACCTGTCCTGGTGAAACTGGAAAGGCCTTCGGGCCACGAGCTATCTTTCAATCATAAAAAAACAAAAAAAAAATAAAAAAAATTCCTTAGGTTATATGTTGCGAGGTGAGATCTAAGAGGACATCGCTCCGTTTTTCATCTAAATAAAAAGCTTGTACTATCAGTACTGATATCGCGTTCATATTAATTTAGGTATTTAGTACATTTGAACTCACGGTTCGCACCTATTTAGCATTGGCACTGTCTGTGACTAATTTTATTACTATTATACCTAGTCCCGCCATAAGTTCTGTTACAAATGAAAATGCATAATTTGTTTTTAAATGAAGTAATGTAATATTATTAAAATTTATATCTACATAATATGTAAAATGGCGCAAAATCGAAAGAAGTTTTTAAAATAATAAACGTGTCCCAAATTCAAGATAATTATAAAGTTGAAAAATGAAAAGTTTTTATGTAACAATATTTATGGCCAGACTAGTTTTAAAAAAAGCTTACTGTCAATTGAATTATATAATTTAATATATTTATAGCACACTGCAGTTATTTTTTGTAACTTCGAATTAAATTGCTGTGTTCAAAGCCCTTCAGACAATTTAATAAATATAAAGTTTAATCTGACTTCGATACTTTAGTTCACACGTGCCTCACTAAGCTGGCGCCATATTGCAGAGGTGGCTAACCGCTGTTAATGGCTTTAATTATTCGATACGGTCCTAATATATACAAATTATACATTTATTCTGTTAGTTTATCAGTTCTTATAATGTCGGTGTATATTATAGTTATTGATTTGTATTGATTCCTTTTAGTAGGAAATTTGCTTACGATATCGCTCAGCAGAACTAGGCCAGACTTTTGGACCAAGCTATGTCACTGTATTTTGAAGTCATCGTGGCCTAAAGGATAAGACGTCCGGTGCATTCGTATCGAGCAATACACCTGTGTTCGAATCCCGCAGGCGGGTACCAATTTTTCTAATGAAATACGTACTCAACAAATGTTCACGATTGACTTCCACGATGAAGGAATAACATCGTGCAATAAAAATCAAACCCGCAAAATTATAATTTGCGTAATTACTGCTGGTAGGACCTCTTGTGAGTCCGGACGGGTAGGTACCACCGCCCCGCCTATTTCTGCCGTGAAGCAGTAATGCGTTTCGGTTTGAAGGGTGGGGCAGCCGTTGTGACTATACTGAGACCTTAGAACTATATCTCAAGGTGTGTGGCGCATTTACGTTGTAGATGTCTATGGGATCCAGTAACCACTTAACATCAGGTGGGCTGTGAGCTCGTCCACACATCTAAGCAATAAAAAAGAAAAAAAAACTTCACGGCATGCTTTATCATCAGCAATTCAAGACAAAGTTTTTGGAGTGAAAACTACGAAAATCTCTTATAGGGAATTCGCCATAGCTCGTGGACTGATTATTCAAATATTGTTATTAGGAGTTTGTACATTTGCAAAGTCATCTTGTAAAGGTCGTTGGCGCGGTTAAGGCTTAGTTCGAATATTATCTATATTCAAATATTATATGATACCTTCCGGTACAAAGTTTTTGGTCAATTGCTTTTTTTTTACTTTAATCAGTTTATCAATCTCTTAGATGACTTAGAAAGTATAGCTCCCTCGAA